CCAGCGGTGTCCTCTCCTGCCAACAGATCCCTCCCAACACCATGACACTCCCTCCACCATATGGCACGACCTCCTGCACGCAACACGCCGCCGTTCGTTCACGCCTTCGGCGGTAAACACGTTGTCTTCCATCAGCCCTAAACATACAGAATCGACTTTCGTCAGTGAAGACAACCCTCTGCCAGTCACGACGTTGCCAACGTCGTACAGTCCGGGCCCAACTCAATCGCAGACGACGATGTTGCGCTGTCAATAGCTGTCCTCTGTGTGGTCTAAAGGCCCTGGTTCCATGAGCCCTGAGTCTCCTGGCCACTGTCTGTCGACTAACCCTGTGACCGAAGGCATTTGTCGCCGATGACGTCACTGTCAGGAAGCGATTTCGGAGGTGCAAGATACGCAAGTACCGGTCATCATGGGGCGTGGTCACCCTGGGTCTGCCTGTTCTTGGCCTGTCAGCGGTCCGCCCTGTCTGTCTGTAACGTTGCATCAAATTGGTAACGGCAACACGGGAGCAACCGAAGGTTCGTTCAATATGGGCGTGGGTGGCTCCCATCTGTACCATACCCAAGGCTCGTTCACGTTGTTCGACTGTGAGTCGTGGCATTTCTTTTGTGTGTGTTTTTTATCACTGTGGATGTCTGACTTGCCGTTGCAATCGTTTTAAACCCTTACCCGCACGTGCATTTGCAGTTGTCCGTGGTGCACGTGTAACAGACGATTAACATTTTCTGCATACACTATTGTTGTATTTAGGCTATGTGTTTTAGATAGACTTCATCGGAACAAAATTTATACTTTGTCTGAAATTTATATTTTCAGTTGGTAAAGTTTCTTTTGGACGTCAGTTTATATATACATTGGTATATCATGAATATTCTTTTGAAAGCCAAAAAGAATTTTAGGCAATGTAAAGGATATTTCAGTTGAACGAGCCGTTTTCTGTATATAAACATAGGCACATTAGCATTATAATTCATTGCGCTGGTCCGCTGGTCCGATATATAGCAACAATAGAGTTTCATTATCCGTCTACATTGCGGTGTGGTGTGATGCTTAAAATCGACATTTTGTCAAAGTTTATAGACGAACGCATATGCATATTGCCGTAAGTACTGGCGAGCATTCTGATTGGTCTGTCATGTAGACTACGGAAAGAGGTGAATGGTGACGTTTGCCATCGAGTGGTGGGCGAATCTTCTTGTACATGCAGCTTACTTAAAGAGGTGAATGGTGACGTTTGCCATCGAGTGGTGGGCGAATCTTCTTGTACATGTAGCCGAATGAAAGAGGTGAATGGTGACGTTTGCCATCGAGTGGTGGGTGAATCTTCTTGTACATGTAGCCGAATGAAAGAGGTGAATGGTGACGTTTGCCATCGAGTGGCGGGCGAATCTTCTTGTACATGTAGCCGAATGAAAGAGGTGAATGGTGACGTTTGCCATCGAGTGGCGGGCGAATCTTCTTGTACATGTAGCTTACTTAAAGAGGTGAATGTTGACGTTTGCCATCGAGTGGCGGGCGAATCTTCTTGTACATGAAGCCGAATGAAAGAGGTGAATGGTGACGTTTGCCATCGAGTGGCGGGCGAATCTTCTTGTACATGTAGCTTACTTAAAGAGGTGAATGGTGACGTTTGCCATCGAGTGGCGGGCGAATCTTCTTGTACATGTAGCTTACTTAAAGAGGTGAATGTTGACGTTTGCAATCGAGTGGCGGGCGAATCTTCTTGTACATGAAGCCGAATGAAAGAGGTGAATGGTGACGTTAGCCATCGAGTGGTGGGCGAATCTTCTTGTACATGTACCTTACTTAAAGAGGTGAATGTTGACGTTTGCCATCGAGTGGCGGGCGAATCTTCTTGTACATGTAGCTTACTTAAAGAGGTGAATGGTGACATTTGCCATCGAGTGGCGGGCGAATCTTCTTGTACATGTAGCTTACTTAAAGAGGTGAATGGTGACGTTTGCCATCGAGTGGCGGGCGAATCTTCTTGTACATGTAGCTTACTTAAAGAGGTGAATGGTTACGTTTGCCATCGAGTGGTGGGCGAATCTTCTTGTACATGTAGCCGAATAAAAGAGGTGAATGGTGACGTTTGCCATCGAGTGGTGGGCGAATCTTCTTGTACATGTAGCTTACTTAAAGAGGTGAATTTTGACGTTTGCCATCGAGTGGCGGGCGAATCTTCTTGTACATGTAGCCGAATGAAAGAGGTGAATGGTGACGTTTGCCATCGAGTGGCGGGCGAATCTTCTTGTACATGTAGCTTACTTAAAGAGGTGAATGGTGACGTTTGCCATCGATTGGTGGGCGAATCTTCTTGTACATGTAGCTTACTTAAAGAGGTGAATGGTGACGTTTGCCATCGAGTGGCGGGCGAATCTTCTTGTACATGTAGCCGAATGAAAGAGGTGAATGGTGACGTTTGCCATCGAGTGGCGGGCGAATCTTCTTGTACATGTAGCCGAATGAAAGAGGTGAATGGTGACGTTTGCCATCGAGTGGCGGGCGAATCTTCTTGTACATGTAGCTTACTTAAAGAGGTGAATGGTGACGTTTGCCATCGATTGGTGGGCGAATCTTCTTGTACATGTAGCTTACTTAAAGAGGTGAATGGTGACGTTTGCCATCGATTGGTGGGCGAATCTTCTTGTACATGTTGCTTACTTAAAGAGGTGAATGGTGACGTTTGCCATCGATTGGTGGGCGAATCTTCTTGTACATGTAGCTTACTTAAAGGGGTGAATGGTGACGTTTGCCATCGATTGGTGGGCGAATCTTCTTGTACATGTAGCTTACTTAAAGAGGTGAATGGTGACGTTTGCCATCGAGTGGCGGGCGAATCTTCTTGTACATGTAGCCTACGGAAAGAGGTGAATGGTGACGTTAGCCATCGAGTGGTGGGCGAATCTTCTTGTACATGTAGCCGAATGAAAGAGGTGAATGGTGACGTTAGCCATCGAGTGGTGGGCGAATCTTCTTGTACATGTACCTTACTTAAAGAGGTGAATGGTGACGTTTGCCATCGAGTGGCGGGCGAATCTTCTTGTACATGTAGCTTACTTAAAGAGGTGAATGGTGACGTTTGCCATCGAGTGGTGGGCGAATCTTCTTGTACATGTTGCTTACTTAAAGAGGTGAATGGTGACGTTTGCCATCGATTGGTGGGCGAATCTTCTTGTACATGTAGCTTACTTAAAGAGGTGAATGGTGACGTTTGCCATCGATTTGTGGGCGAATCTTCTTGTACATGTAGCTTACTTAAAGAGGTGAATGGTGACGTTTGCCATCGAGTGGCGGGCGAATCTTCTTGTACATGTAGCCTACGGAAAGAGGTGAATGGTGACGTTAGCCATCGAGTGGTGGGCGAATCTTCTTGTACATGTAGCCGAATGAAAGAGGTGAATGGTGACGTTAGCCATCGAGTGGTGGGCGAATCTTCTTGTACATGTACCTTACTTAAAGAGGTGAATGGTGACGTTTGCCATCGAGTGGCGGGCGAATCTTCTTGTACATGTAGCTTACTTAAAGAGGTGAATGGTGACGTTTGCCATCGAGTGGTGGGCGAATCTTCTTGTACATGTAGCCGAATGAAAGAGGTGAATGGTGACGTTTGCCATCGAGTGGTGGGCGAATCTTCTTGTACATGTAGCTTACTTAAAGAGGTGAATGGTGACGTTTGCCATCGATTTGTGGGCGAATCTTCTTGTACATTTAGCTTACGAAAAGAGGCGCATGGTGACGTTTGCCATCGAGTGGTGGGCGAATCTTCTTGTACATGTAGCCTACGGAAAGAGGCGAATGGTAACGTTTGCCATCGAGTGGTGGGCGAATCTCTTTGTACCTGTATGTAACGGAAAGAGGCGAATGGTGACGTTTGCCATATTAAGCCGACTCGCCTTGAGATAACTGTTTGAAGAGGTGTTAGGTCAAATATACTCACTCACACTCTCAATCGAAGTTTTTGCATACATACAAGAACAGCGAACACCTCCATTATCCGTGTGGCGTACAACAATTTAAATGTTGTATATTGTCATATAAATCAGGTTGTAAAATGCTTCCATGTCATCTCTCCGATTCTACCCGTGGAGATCCAGGGTAGAAAAGGTCTTCAGCAACCCATGCTTGCAGTAAGAGGCGATAATGCTTGTCGTAAGAGGCGACTAACGGGATCAGGTGATCAGGCTCGCTGATTTGGTCGATGCATGTCAGCGTATCCCAATTCGATCATGATATCAATCACTGGATTGTCTAGTCCAGACTCGATTATTTACAGACCGCCGTCATACAGCAGGAATATTGTTGAGTGCAGCGAAAAACAAACCAACAAAACGCTGTCAGAACTGAAGAAGAGATAAATGTAAATCGGTAAAACAAAGCAGGTGTTTCTGTATCGTGAGCAATAACTGCACTAACTCAAAGTTAAGAGGCACGCGTTAATTATGAGCGATTATTATTCAAAGGTAGATTTGTTGACACCTAGCAACTTAAAACAATCAGGAAAGCTGAAACAAGAGTTATGCTACCTAAATGTTTTATTTTAAAGACCAAAATATATTTTGGTCGGGTAGCCTAGTGGTTAAATCGTTCGCTCGTCACGCCAAAGACCCGGGTTCGATTCCCCACATGGGTACAATGTGTGAAGCCCATTTCTTGTGTCCCCCGCCGTGATATTGCTGGAATATTGCTAAAAGCGGCGTAAAATCAGACTCACTCACACTCACTCATTATTTAGATTTTGTTGTATTTGTATTATAGATTTTATTATTTTTTATCGTTAATGTTTGCAATTTATTTTCTTTCAGACTCGCAATCATCCATCAGTCCCTATCTTTCTCTTTCTGGTTCATGCTTACGGAAACCATGGCAACAACAGCACAGAGGAACCTTTTACTTCCGAAACCGCAACTTCTGTAACTATGAATTTACAAGTCGCAACGACTGTGCCATCTTTTAAACCCTTATCTCCTCCAACGGATTCCGTGAATACAACACACATGACAACCGGAAGTGAGGCAACCCTTGCCGGAAATGAAGTAGAAAACGTGACGAAAGCTCTGATGAAGACAGTCGATCCCTACGCCATTATGAATGAAGGAATGGTTTCCAAGAATCAGTATGAGCAGTGCAGCTTCATCATCAACGTTATCATGAAGCCCTCGGTGTGCATTGCCGGCGTCATAATGAACGTCATCGGCATTTGCGTGTTGTTACGTAAATCTTTCCGCCGCTCCACCTACATCTACCTCGGTTTCCTCTCTATCTCCGACGTCGGGTACCTCCTCTGCGTTCTCATACGCAGCCTTCCCAAGATCATCGTCCTTTACGATGATGTCCTCGCAAACGTCATCGAAATACCCATTTTCTCGTACATCTCCATGTACTTTGACCTTGTGTTCACAAGAACATCGGTTTTTCTTATATGCGCTTTGTCCATCGAAAGGTTTGTTGCAGTGCTACGTCCTTTGACAGTAAGGGAACTATTTTTGTCGCGTCACGCTTTATCAATATGTGTAAGTGTTTTTGCCTTTTGCGCAATTTTCTATTTCCATTTTCTCTTCGTTTACTACCCTCAACCGTATTTTAACCCAAGTCGCAACATAACGATGTACACGGTTGGCCGCCGCCCTTGGTTCTTTGATTCTGGTTTTGAGAAGGTATTCTCTGTTTTAAACGATATCTTGAACTTATATGTCCCTCCCGTCATTCTCATAACGTGTAACATCGGTATTCTGGTCACGTTAGGTGCTGCTAAGAAGAAGCGAAAACGTCTCTTCTGTAATGGTAGTGTAAACGACATCTCGGCCAATGACCAAAAAAGGATAACGTTAACTCTGTTGATTATCTCCCTCTTCTTCCTCGTTGTGTTCCTCCCTGTCATAGTCGTTGGTGTGTTAGCAAAATATGACCCGCAAATGAAAGCTTTCGGACGCGAGCACTACTTCTTGTTCCTCATGGCGGATGTGACGTCACTCTGTTGGAGTATGAGCTCAGCCAATGATTTCATCGTCTACATCTACACAAGTATACAGTTCAGGGACACTCTGTTGGCCATGTTCTGCCGAGGGAGATATGTCTCGAACATGGAGCCTAATCGATCGCAAAGCGCATCTAACGTTTCCCGCCTCACCAGTACCAGTTCGGACGAAGTAGGTGCAGTGGTCCGAGTCTCTGAGACTAGATATTAACCCTATTCACAGTTCCACAAAGGTATCAGGGGCACGGTGGTACAATCGTTGAAGGCACTGCAAATCGCTGATCTTACTATCCTTTGGCCAACCAGAAACCTTTCATTGTTGGATCGAATCTCAGTTTCGCTATTATTATCTTTCTAAGTTTGTCACATTCACCTAGTTTCATCAGGCTAAGACCTGAATAAGGTCAAGTCAAGTCTATTCCGCATGAAGGCCACTGGTCCATGCCCATCATTTTTTCGTGACTTTTCGATACAATGCAGGCAGTTTCCACGCCCAAACTCAAACTTAATATAAGAATACAGTCACAATGCCACCGTTGGATAAACTGAACCCTTGTGGTCGTTTTCACTGTAGAAGGTCATAGTATGATGCATGTGAATAACATGTGCGTTGACATTTCATTGGTTATTATACCCCGCCACGATGTGCGGCGGGGGATACTGGAACGGAGTTCGTCCGACCGCTTCTCAATGGGGACAAATTTTCGCAAAATCTGTTCAGGTTAGAGGAAAGAAATTTGGCACACTTATGTTACTGGTCACGATCTCAAATGACTTTGAAAATTGCTGTCGCACATTCATATTTTACAGAGTTATGGCCCTTGCTCCATGCTTTTCAACTTAGTGTATACTGTTTGTTTGTTTGTTTGTTTGTTTGTTGTTTAACGCCTCACTCAGCAGAATTCCACCTATATGACGGCGGTCTGTAAAATAATCGAGTCTGGACCAGACAATCCAGTGATTGGCATCATGAGCATCGATCCACATAATTGGGATCGTTGACATGTATCAACCAAGTCAGCGAGCCTGACCACCCGATCCCGTTAGTCGCCTTTTACGACAAGCACGGTCGCCTTTTACGGCAAGTATGGGTTGCTTAAGACCTATTCTACCCCGGAATCTTCACGGGTCTAGTGTATACTGAGTGAAATGGGGACAAGTTCTCTCAGCAACTACTGAAATTCCATGAATGAAAGTTTGCATGCTTATATAAGAGATACTTGTCAAGACTGAGTTCGAAAATTGGTCCCGTCAATTAATTGTTTATAGAGTTACAGTCTTCGATCCATGTTATTTGTGTAATGTGGACAAGTTTTCTCAGAAACAACTGAAGTTAGCTTATCTAAGAGGTACTTATCAATACTGAGTTATATTTTCCAGAGAAAGGGCCCTTTGTGTGCATTAATTTCACATTTAATCTTTTTTTTCTAATGACAAAAAGTGGCCCAAGTGTCAATCTCTACTTAAGGCTTCATGGGGCTCTTTTGTATAGTTTTTGTTCACTATGAACAAACAAACTTCAAATGTGCCTAATGGCGGGGCATAGTTGTTTTCTTTTTTCAGCTTGTTGGATACACGTATCTTACGTAGATGTTATCAATGAGGAAGTCAAGCATTTCACATTTTGTTTTTTCTCTAAACTTCAGATGGCATTTGCTTTCATTTTTCACAAATTGTCCTGAACCTCTGAATATAGATCCGTAACTGTATCTGTGTTCACCACGTTTTGTAACAAAAGACCCATGGATCAAGGAATGAAGTTTTTCCTTAAGTTTGTCATGTGGGATAGTCGTGTACATAGTTGAAAAATCAAATGTTTTGACAGAAATACGCTATTGAGTTTTTCCATACATTGGGGCAGCAGGGTGGCCAAATGGTAAAAGTAGTCGCACGTCCGAGGCCCGAGTTCGATTCCTATCATTGGTACAAGTGTGAAGCCTATTTCTGGTGTACCCACCTGTCGTGATATTTCTGGAATATTGGTCAAGAACGGCGTAAAAGCATACTCACATACTCACTCACCTAAAAGTTGAGTTTCCAACTATTTCAGGTCGTGTGATTGGCCTACCAAGGAAAATTTTGCGTTTATGCTTCAATGAACAGACTAAAAATTAGGACTTCTGTTTCCTGTTTGGCTAGGGCTTGTCTTGCATTCTTGCGCTGAACGATGTTATAGATTTCGTTTTGTTGTTGTCAACAGTGTTTTGTGTTACTGATTGAATAAACAGTCTGTGAAGTTAATACCGTTGACTTATTTATTGATAAGAATTTACTTCAAACTATGTTTGCGTTTATGGAACTATGAACTTAAAAACCTGTGAGCACATCATAAATCCGCAACGCGCGGATGTGCACAGTGTGAACGGCGGTTTTTGTTTGTTTGATTGTTTGTTTGTTTGTTTTGGTTTTATTTAACCCCGCACTCACGGAGAGTGGTATATTTCACTGCCGGTTTCAGCCAATCAGAGCGCATTTCCGTTGCACGGGATTTTAACGGCGCTTGTTCAAGCGACAATTTTCAAAGAAATATTTCGTAATGTCCTGTTAGATTTGTAACTTCATACAGAAATGCGAAGAAGTTCAGTTGCTATTCAGAGAAAGTGGAGTATTTGTTTTACTGAGGTTTCCGACACACAATCTTTCATTTTGACATCAACCCGTGAAGATCCGGGGTAGAATAGGTCTTCAGCAACCCATGCTTGCCGTGTAAGGCGACTAACGCGATCGGGTGGTCAGGCTCGCTGACTTGGTTGATGCATGTCATCGTATCTCAATTGCTTGGATTAATGCTCATGATGTCAATCACTGGACTCGATTATTTACAGACCGCCGTCATACAGCTGGAATATTGCTGAGTGCGGCGTTAAACAACAACCAAACAAACAAATGTTAGCTTGATGTTGGAGGAAAACCCTAAAGGATGCGGGACGTTTACCACTTTGGTGAAACCCACGAGAACGGATATGGTGAGTATTTTTTAAATGGTGGTATGGAGATAAACCTTTTCAATTAATTCCTTTTCGAAACCGACGGTAGCCCGTAAGGGACACTGAAACCTTTTCACGTTTCCAACGTGTTTTTCGAAATAACGTGTATTACACGTTTTCTTTTGGAATTCTACACGTTTTTAGACTTGCTTCCTAAATATGCCACAACCTTCCCTTGTCTTTAAAACCAAACATGTAACGCCGAAAACACAAAAAGACAAACTACCGAAACTGTTTCAACTGCAGTGAGAATATTCCCACCGCGGTGGTGGTATATTTGCACCAGGGTGTATATATTCTCAAAGCTGCTAAAGAAGTTTTCGGAAGTGTGTCTTTCTATTTTGAGTTTTTTAGCTTGGACGGTTCATGCAGTTTGGCCCTCAGTATATTAAGTTTCATACTTCAATAAACTGGATCACAAAGGGGACGGACCCGTGAAGGTCTTCAGCAATCCATGCTTGCCGTAAAAGCAAGTGCTTGTCGTACGAGGCGACTAACGGGATTGGGTGGCCAGGTTTGCTGATTTGGTTGATGCATGTCATCGTATCCCAATTGCGAGGATCGATGCTCATGATGGTAATCACTGGATTGTCTGGTCCAGATTCGATTATTTACATACCGCCGTCATATAGCTGGAATATTGCTGAGTGCGGCTTTAAACAATAAACAAACAAACAAAGGGAGCGTCAAGTATCATCTTTCCCCTGCACACCACAAAGCACACAACGATGGTGAGATACTGTACTGACTGCAGTTTATTCATTCAACATCATCAACATCGTCATCATGACCTTCATCAACAAAGCTTCATTAACATTAATATAGACAAGGTGATTAACATTTTAAGCGTGTATATACACATGCATATACACAGACATCGTCGCCTAATCATGTATTCTCCTGGCTCGTCAACGCATACTCATCAGGGTATAGTCCCAAATCAATAATTTTACAAAATGCTTGAGGTTATAACTATGGCTAACGATCCATCAACCAGAGTATTCTAGTGGCTCGCCAGAAACACGCAAACCAAGCACCACATCCTGATCATCATTTGAAATTGTCAAATTCACATATGTCAATGAAATATGAATAGCAGCAGTTATTAAGCGCATAAACCACAAAGCTTCAAACGTCACTCAACTTCCATCTTACCGAGGCAAGAGAGTTAACTGACTATAAAAGTCCAGTTTCCGCCCTTGCCGGACTACGCTGGTATTTCTGGGCTCGATCGTAGCTCCACCAGTGGATATTACGAGTTATGTCCCTTCTATGTCCCTCCTATTGACCAATCAGTTTCCATCTCTCATATAACTTGCATTTACTTCAAATAAATAGCGTCGCCCAGTGAAGACGATCTGATCGAGAATCAAGATGTATAATGTAAAGAAATGGGTCTTACTTCGCGAACTGCATCAAATCACGTGGGCACTTTAATTAAAAACAGGACAAGAATCGGAATATATCTTTTGACGCTAAGTTGTCGGTACACATGCTTTTCAAATCCTGCAATCGACCGAAATCTGCATGACAGTTTACGAACCGGATGTCGATTTCGTTACGCGATTTTGATTGGACTATGAATAGACTCGTTAGTCCAGCCAAAATATATATCATAATTCCAGCCTAGTTCGGCAAGGGTTGGAACTAGACTTTTATAGTCAGTTAATCCCTTGCCTCGGGAAGATACTTAGCTTCATAAATAAATAATTTATGTCACATGTTTGATATAGCCAGCCCCGAGTGCACCGGCAGAACATGAGGTTTCATGTTCCGTCTTACTTTTATACTCGCACCAGCGCCCCCTATAACAAATTACTTCCCTCTGTTGTGCTTTCCGACGTTAGGAGACAATAATTTCGTTCTAATTCATCCTTCAAACGAAAGAAATTATATTTGTCCTCCTTCCCCCATGTACAACAAAGCAGGCTACCACTGATGGTATATTGTACAATACACTGAACGAGGAAACAAAGAACGTTAATTCGAAGACAAAAAAAGAGACCGTCAGTCTATGTTCAATGCTATCCTTAACAAAGGCATTCTCGCTCCTCCAGCTACCAAGACGTTTGACCACATCTAACACAGATGCCTCTATAGGATACCACTGAAACTCTGCAGACCATAGCATTTTGTATCAGGTACATAAGACTTAAAGGATTCAGTAAAAAGCTCCCTTAACCCAGTATAAGATAACAGTTTGTTCTGGACTAAATCTATAGCCATCGTTGGTCTTGCATAGATTCCTGAAAAGAATATCGGAATAAGATTCTTTGTTTAAACCAGATTTTTCCAAGAAACATTACAAACAGTTCAAAGGACACATCTGTGTCCCTCTTCTACCATTAATCAACAAAGATTCATCTCTACACATATCGGTCTTTAATTAAAGTCGTATAAGCATGACCATGCTAAATATTAAGCAACTCAACAGGCCACATAAAACATGGAAAGACACAATTCTCAAATTATATACATTTAGGTTTTGCATTTTACAATCAAACATTCTTTTAAATAAAACGAAAAAACCCTTTACATATTCACACAAAAATTCAGCCAAGCACTTAGACCGTAATAGGCTCTTTTTTCTTAACAGGTCTTACTCTTCCGTTTGGCCGACAACATGTTGTCCGTAGGAACGAGGAACGATCTTACTGAGCTTGTTTCTTTGCTCGATCTGAGTTTTTCAACACGCTCCGCCATGTAATCGGATTTCTTATATTATGACGTACACAAGTTTAACTTTCCCAGATTGTCCAAAGTCTCAGTATTGAAGGACTGGTGAATTCTACAATCTTGTTTCCACACAAAATCATTATCAACTTTCAACTTGAATATCCCTTTGTTCGTTCTCTCTTTCCTTTAATGACAGACTATTGCTGAGTCAGCAGAAATGTACCTTCAGCTATAATCAGCTACACGTCAAATTAATCCGAATACGAATCACAGAGCACAACCTTCCGTAAAGAAAAAATATTGCTGAATAGGTTATATGTATCTTCAGTTAATCAGCTATCACAGAGCACAGTCTCCCTTAAAGAAAACCTATTGCTGAATAGGTTATATGTATCCTCAGTTAATCAGCTATCACAGAGCACAGTCTCCCTTAAAGAAAAAATATTGCTGAATAGGTTATAAGTATCTTCAGTTAGTCAGCTACACGTCATATTCATCAGAATCAGAATTAAACACAGCCACAGGTCCTCGAGGATCTAGTTGAAAATCAGAGTCCAGAGCTTGGGACCAGTCATTCAATTCTTCCTCTTCATTGGTTTGTCCTGAACTCTCAGAATCACCTACTGTCCAACGGACATTGTGCTGGTGCGAGGCTGGGACGTTATCGAGCATGGACCCATGGACTTGTTTGTGTGGATTAAGTTCATTATCGGCAAATCCGTTTCGTTGACTTTCATTTTCTAGACTCTGGCCTTTATGAAGATCACCCCATGGTTGTCCGTTGATTCTTCCACTACCGATTTCAGTTTGTTGTGCTTGTGATTCTAACGGAATGCCACCAAGACGTGAGGGCATACCCTCATTAGAAGGAAACGTTTCCCACATGCTTGTTTGCTTTGGGGTTATATTAGGATCGTATGGCTCCACATCATCATAAATACCATCAACATCATCCAAGGTACCAGCTCCCACCTCCTGTTCTTCCTCCTCTACTTCATTTATTTCTCCATCCATTCCCGTAAAAGACTGCGTCGAGCCTTCTACAAACGCACCCTTCTCTTCTCCCTGATCCATTCCTCCACCGTCTCTACTCACATCTGAAACAAATGTTTCGGCTTTGCCATCCAAGTTCCTCTGGACTGAAACGCCTTCAGCATCACATCCACCACTAATGCGTCTCCACTGCATTTCATTTTCATACAGATCCCTATCATCACCATCATCATCATCAATGTCAGCATCGACACTGACAACTAAACCATGAACTCTTCTGTAACGTACATGTACAAAGTCCGAATCCTGGTCCGAATTTCTCGAAACTCCTTCATTGCGTCCTCCAGATTCTTGAGCAAATACCCCATCTTCAGCTTCTTCTTCTCCACTTTCTTCTTCTTCTTCTTCTTCTATGTCGTTCAAGTGATCATTACTGTTGTACTGCACAGCCATACATGCCACTCCTATGGTGTCATCAGGTTTGTCATGCTCATCCTCACTTCTGTCCCCTCCTTTGGCACTGCCATGCAATGGAGTATCACCATCATCATCAACTGTTCCACCATCGTCCGATGACAATTTGTATTTGTATTTAAGACGCCGAAACTGTGTATCGATAAAGTCCTCATTCTCATAAGGATCGCTGTCATCTTCACTGTCCACTTGCTTTTTGTGCTCAGCACTCATGACGTCAACCTCATTCTCATACAGTCCATCATCATCGTCTTCCTCGCTTTCGAAGGTTTCCTCAATATCACTGACGGAGTAATTAGCTCCATCTTCAGGTAAGGTATAAGCTCCCGATTTCCTCTTGTGAGAAGTGTCCAATCCCATCCTGCGCGCATGAATGGCCAAAGAATCTCTAGCCACTAATTGTTCTCTGAAAGCAATATCTACCGCGCCTGAACTCTCTGTAGGTTCTGGGTGTGGACTTCCCGTACTTCTTTCAGGACGAACTGGGAGAGATGGCTCAGTTGGTGCACGTTGAACTGGATTGGGTACCCTTTGCACAACAATATCGTCTTGCTGCCTAGATTCAACGGCAAGTCTCGATGGAATACTAACACGAGTATCAGGTCTTGATCCGGGAGCCCTCATCGGCGGATTTAACATATTCGCGTTTGTCCTTGCAAGATCTTTATGCTCTTTGATATTACTTACAGGTGTTTCATAATCATTTTTTTGACTTCCCAGAGACAAGTCTTCGTACTCGTCGTCAAACAGCTCTGGTTGAGCCGTGTTGGGTTGATTCTCAAGGGATTCGGCAGTATTGTGGGATGTCAATTCAACATTTACATCCAAATTAGGGTTATTCCGATAACGTACAAGGTCAAACACAGCTTTTTTCTTTGGCCTCCGGAACTTTCTTTTAATCTTTCTGCAAACAATTGTATCATCAAGTTAAAACATGTCTTTTAAATTAATAAGTATTTTTGTTTGATTGTTGTTTAACGCCACACTCAACAATATTCTAGCCATAAGACTGCGGTCTGTAAATAGTGGAGTCTGGACCAGACACGCCTGTGACATCATGAGCATCGATCCACGCAGTTGGTATACGATGACATTCATCAACCAAGTCAGCGAGCCTGACCACCGTTAGTCGCCTCTTGTGACAAGCATAGTCGCCTTTTACGGCAAGCATGGGACCAACTCTACCCCGGATCAAACAAACAATGTGGTATTCGGGAAGGACGTTTGCCTATTGGATACAACGTTCGCTCGTCACATCGAAGGCCCGGGTTCGATGCTCTACATGGGTGCAATGTGTGCCCTGCAGTTATATTGCTGGAATATTGCTAAAAGCGGCGTCTCTCATTGCATTATTATTCACTGGTTCCTTTACTCCGTATCTAAACAAAATCGTACACTATTCACCACGCTATTGCTGTCTTTGAGCTAGCCATTAGGTACTAATTATCATGGATCTGTTTAGCCCCATACTATTGACTATCATACTCTTCACAGTTATGTTTTGTCACTATGTATTATTCAGTATTGTTCACTATGCTATTACTTACTAGGATAATATTCACGCTCGTCCTATTCTCTATTATACTATTTGCCATGTTACCCTAAAAAGCGTCTGATTAATTATATTATTATTAATAATGATAATCATCATCATCATCATAATAATAATAATAATAATAATAGGTAGATTATGTAATGAATTTAATGAGACTGTCCAACACATTGTGAGTGGATGCCCAGCTTTGGCACAGACACAGTATCTTAAGCGACATGATGGGGTGGCTCGATAATTTCATTACCGTCTTCGCCATGCTTGTGGTTTTGACACAGAGGTTCATCCATGGTACGACCCGGAATATGTAGAGGGGGCCATGGAAAATAATAAATACAAAATCCTTTGGAATAGGCCCGTATACAGCTTCAGACGTACCCCGGCCAACAAACCTGATCTTGTCCTTTTGATAAATCTAATGAAATCAATTATATCATTGAATTTTCTGTCCCTTTTCACAGTAATGTGATTGACAAGATTGAGGAAAAACATGGCAAATATGCAGACCTCGCTTTCGAAATGTCACGCTTGCATCCCAAGTACCAAGTTGTCCGACTCCCCCATTGTTCTCGGTGCCTAAGGTTTGGTACCTCCCAATCTGTTGACCGACATTGGGAGAGTGCCCGGGTTTGCTACCAGGAATACAGCCCTTCTGACAATCTGGGTAATGCAGAAGGCTGCAGTGTGCGGGAGTCTTCACATTCCCCGAAAAGTTCTGGGTGGGTTTGACTAGGCAGCGCTTCCTGGGAAAAGTCTCATTCGCTGTCTGGGCTGCGTGTAGAGGGGGCAAGGGCCCTAAGCTGTTGATGAGCCTAACCAGCCTGACTGTGCCAGGATCACCCAAACCCTCCTTACTGTATTTTGTATTTAATATGTAAATAATAATAATTAATAATTTTAAAAAACCAAAAATACGAGGATGGTGATCAAGTTATCGACAACTTACATGACAACAATGATGACGTTGACGGCGACGCTGGCAGCCAGCAGGAGAGACAATGTAATTATGGCGATTGTCACTGAAAGGAAAGTTGTCAGTACAACACGCTATTCATATGATAATGATGTTTATTGTTTGAAAGACCAAACGCCCAGATACAAAGTATTGACAGTAGGTGGAGCAAATGATCAAACAAATAAAACATGAATCTGAGCATATCGTGAATAATAAAGTACATCAGTAAACAATTATTAATTTCTAGATTTAACAGCAGGGTTAAAGAGTAACATTAAAGATTTCCGCACATTTAGTAGCGATACAGTGAATGGTTCTCTTGGCGGGTATGCAATGCATAATGTAGATGCCTACCGTTTTATTACATGATCAATAGATGGACAAATGTGTGAGAGAGTGAGTGATATACATCTTCCACTTCAGATGTATTTACAATATGTGCACAGACCTTTGGGACCGCCTCCGTGGTCTAGTGGTAGTGTGTCCGCCCGGAGAGCGGGAGGTCGCGGCCGCGTCATACCAAAAGACGTTAAAAGATGGTACTTGTTGTTACCCTGCCTGGCGCGCGGCATTAAGGGGCTAAAACAAGGACTGGTCGGCTCGGAGTCCGTATACTGTGTCTGAGTTGGGTATTCATGTTAAACTGCGGCATGGTATCTCAGTGAGCTAGCACTATAAATCGGCAGGAGTCCGGACTAGTACAAGCAGCCACACTCACGTGCAAGCACGTCGCTAAAGAAGTGCAATAATCTTGGACGCGACGTTAAACCCCATTTCACCTCACCTTTGCATTTGGGCACTTGCCTGAAGCAATACCGAGATATAAAGTACTAACTCTTAACCAGTTTCTTTTGTTTAACCGACTCTTTATCTGGAAATTGTTTTTGAATATACACTTACATTGGAGTGAGTGAGTGAGTTGGGATTAGCGCCGCTTTTAACAGTATTCGTGGCGTGTCAACTTAATGTTGGAGGAAAGCTGAAGTGATGCAGGTCTCAGACGTTTACCACTTCGGTGAAACTCACGAGCACGGGTATGGTGCTGACAAACCTAGAAAGATAATCGGGGCGAACCGGGCATTTGGAATCAATTTCATTCCTGTGACCAGAGACCATATAACAGATCTATTAAATGGTCTCTGCTTTGACTAAATACTGTCAGAAGCCACGTGCTGCATTCTCTATTTCTCGGTTAAGCCAGACAGAGAGACGGAGTGTAATTAACGCGATTCCCAATGAAAGGGAACGTTGTCAGTACGTGATATTAACATATCTCTGTCTGACAATAGGGATTGACCGAGTAATTTTGAGTCCAAGAGTGTTAGCAATGGCGTCAACAAAGCCACCATGGCACTCCGACTATCGTAAGCTATGTATGGTGTTCTCGGCTGTTCTTGGTTTTCGAATTTCCATTGTGAAATCGGGCCCCGGGGTCTTACTGTCCACAACACTGCATGTATCGTTGGTTAATTGATCTTTACGTATCTAGGCGCATATACTACTTTCCAGTCTTTTTTTGTATAGGCCGCGTGAACTTCCGGGTGAGAATTTGTCTTCAGCAACCCATGCTTGTCGTTAGAGGCAACTAACGGGATCGGGTGGTCAGGCTCGCTGACTTAGTCGATACATGTCATCCTATCCAAATAGTGTATAGATCAATGCTTATGATGTCTGGACTGTGATATATGGGTAACGCTATTTTTCAGGGCATTATCATTTGCAGAAGCCCGAGGTCTTTCATATACTGTCCGGCGAAGGAGGGCAGTAGAAAAGACCGAGGGCTTCTGCAAATGATAATGCCCTGAAAAATAGCGTTACCGTTTTTATAGCTAAAATGGATGGAATTTGTTATCAAAAAAAAAGAAACAACAATATCGGTTTTGAAACATTTACTGCAATCAACACGAATGTCACTGACCCACTTTTACGAATATGGAAACGCCATAGAACAAACCAGATGACGTCACTATAATACGTGACGTCACTTTCCCTACCCTATGGCGTCACCTAACAACGGGCTTGATAATGGCCCGTCGTCAAGCAATATGAGGGCGTTATCAAGTTACAGTGGCCCGCACATTTCTGAATACGTGCGGGCGGTTAATGATAGTTCTATCCATTTTAGCTATAATTATTAACAAACCGCTGGAAAATTGCTGAGCGCGGCGTTAAACAACAAACAAACAAACAATTACTCGGTGTAGCTGGGAATGTAATGACAAACAAAATACCTCGTTTTATTGAAACATCTGGCAGTCAAGTGAACCGACGCCATCCCAATGACGGTTAAAATACACACACACGCACACGCACACACACACACACACACACGCACGCACACACACGCACGCACGCACGCACGCACACACACACGCGCGCGCGCGCACACGCACGCACACACACACACACACACGCACCCACACAGTGTCTCACACCACAAACAGACACTCATCACACACAAACGCAAGCACACAACATACCACCACACGCATACACGCGCGCGCACTCACACCACACATACATACGCAAGCGCAAACACACACTTACATACACACACACTACACAGACACACACATACACATGCACACACCGCACGCACGCACGCATCCCCCACCCCCACAAACTAAAGTTCAGAATACGAAACTTTGACACCCCCTCCCTCCTTCCACCCAAAAGCCGACCCGTGAAGATCCGGGGTAGAATAGGTTGTCAGCAACCCATGCTTGCCGTAAAAGGTGACTATGCTGGTCGTAAAAGGCGACTAACGGGATCGGTTGGTCAGGCTCGCTGACTTGGTTGATGCATGTCATCGATCCCAATGGCGTGGATCGATGTTCATGATGTCAATCACTGGATTGTCTGGTCCAGACTCGATTATTTACAGGCCGCCGTCATTTAGCTGGAATATTGCTGAGTGCGGCGTAAAACAACAAACCAAATCCACCCCAAAGCCAGGATCTGCCTACCTGATGTCTTGCTGACCGTGTAAACCACATTCACTCTCTCGTGTCCAAATTAATCGGCTAAAATCAATAATATCCAAAATTATCATTCAACGGACAATAATGTATACTCACTTGATCCCAGCGAGTGACCATAGTCTGAAAATCAAATGACACATTCTTCGAATCTAAAAACATTTTCAACGTCGTTGACGTTTACAGTGGTCCTCTCTTTACGTGTTAATTACACAGAGATATAAATAAACATACTGACAACCGACTACCGTAGTTTGCATATATATGTATTTCCTTTGAATAAGCTGCTATATTAATCCTGTGAGGATTCCGGGCTGCAGTAGGTCCCAAACAAACGACACAAGTCGTAATGGATTGGGAGGTTTCGGTGACTTGGTTGACTGCACGTCATCGTACCCCGACGTCCCGGCGTTGCTCATAATATCAATCACTGGTTTTTGTTTTTTCTTTCAATCATGAAAGGACAGTGCTATTTGATTGGACGGCTATTTTCGGCTCCGTGTCATTCCAACGGGACTCAAAACGAAGCTAAGGCGGCGAATAGGTTCAGGGGGGGTTATGATAATAGAATGGTGATATAACACCCTGAATGATCGAGGATGGACATGTTGCCGGTGAAAAGACATCCAGAAGACATTATTTAAGAACGAATGCTATATATAAGTGTTGTCATCCTTCCATTTGTGTGGTACATAAAGGAGAGACCCGCGAAGATCCGGGGAAGAACAGGTCTTCAGCAACCCATGCTTGCCCTAAAAGGGACCCGTGAAGATCTAGGGTAGAATAGGCCTTGAGCAACCCATGCTTGTCGTAAGAGACGACTAACGGATCGTTTGGCCAGGCTCGCTGACGTGCCAGATGCATGTCATCGTATCCCAATTGTGTGGATCGATGCTCATGATGTCAATCACTGGACTGTCTGGTCCAGACTCGATTATTTACAGACCGCCGTCATAAAGCTGGAATAATGCTGAGTGCGGCGTTAAACAACAAACAAACAAACAAACAAACATGAAGGAGAACTAATAATGATTTTGCCACTAAGAGAGTACATCTCACCTGGAGTCGCGGTAATGTTGGATGTTGTTTCGTTGAATTGATCTGAAACAATTAACAGCATTATGAAAGAGTAAGTCAAATTATTGGGAGCGGTGGGGTAGCCTAGTGGTTAAAGCGTTCGCTCGTCACGCCGAAGACCCGGGTTCGATTCCCCACATGGGTTCCATGTGGGAAGTCCATTTCTGGTGTCCCCCGTCGTGATATTGCTGGAATATTGCTAAAAGCGGCGTAAAACCATACTCACTCAGTCATATTATTGATACTCCACATCCATGAAGATTGTAGTTCATGATCAATCATAGACTGTTACCAGAGCTTATATCAAACGTGAAGAAAGTGTGGAGGTTTGTATGAAAAAGTGTTCTAGAAAATACTTGAAAAACTAATTGTGACGGAGTTTTTGACAACCAATGTTTTTCACTGAATATCCCGAAGACATGTGTTTTCGGTCTAAAAGAATCCTTTGGATCATCCTTGTAGCGACAAAAGTACCAGTATATGCCTTGGTACAAAGACTGGACAATATTCTATATCTCTTTCCACCTTTTCATCTCTTTTAGCCCCTTACCGCCGAGCGCCAGACAGGGTAACAACAAGTACCTATTTTAACGTCTTTTGGTCTATGATTATGGCTTCGAATCCTGGATTGCCCTAATTATGTTTTAGGAGTGTGAGCACCATACCCCCCCCCCCCCCCCCCCCCAAAAAAAAAGTACTAGAATCTGTACTTTACAATGAGAGTGTTATCCCAAATATAACATTTGTTACATTTGACCACCGCCCTCTCTTTCCATCTGGTAGATAATTGCTGATGCTTTCAGTTACCGTTTACCCCGACGATTATTTATATTGCTGACTGCGGTGGTAAACAACATTCACTCATCCACACGAAACACGGCAAGAGCAGGTGGACTTTATTCAAATTTCACGGAAAGTCAAACTAAGTTTCACTATCAAAGCCTGGTGAATTCATTCCAGGTTGTTTATGGTAGACATTCATAAATATTTGAGAGTCTCTTTCTATGACTTTTAGAAGGAATTTTCATACCTTTTCACTCTCTGGTACTTCCATTTTCAATTGTGTTACTGGTAGAGTCGACATGCTTACCCTTATCGCGAACACCTGATTTTCAGTGATACATTCCTATAGATTTCTCTATGTTGACCTTTGCGCCCTGTAGATTGTCGAGAGTGATTATTCTCAGCCGTTGACGTTTTGAATCTAATGTTGTATTAGATCCATCGAGTAAATACTAGGTTTCATTAGTCTTGGTAAATATATGTCTGGCTTTAATCGTTAATTGTGTTCCCGAACAACTGTCATCGATAGTTCTACGTCTCACCCCTGTCGCACTTGTCGCCATACCAACCATCTTCACAGTCGCCATAGCAACTGCCCGTGACAGGGTCGCACAGTAGACAGGATGAGCTGTTGTCTGCCCCTGTGTCGCACTGCGTGTTGTTAACACAGTGGACGCAATCTAAAAACAATGTCGGAGAGATAGAAAACAGAGTTCTTAATGCATTGCACTTATGTTACAGAGTCTACGAATTACAAGGGGCGTGTGTGACCCAGTCGACTAAAGCGACACAATTCACTGTGCAGAGTTGAATCCCTGCGTTGTGCAAAAAACCCTATTATTATGGTGAGGTGAGGTGAAATGGGGTTTAACGTCGCGTCCAAGATTATTGCACTTATAAAGCGACGTGTATGCACACGTGTCAGTGGCTGCTTGTACTAGTCCAGACTGATGACGATTTATAGTGCTAGCTCACTGAGATACCATGCCGCAGTTTAACATGAATACCCCTCTCAAACACAGTATACTGACTCCGAGCCGACCAGTCCTTGTTTTAGCCCCTTAACGCCGAGCGCCAGACAGGGTAACAACAAGTACCATATTTTAACGTCTTTTGGTCTATGATCATGGCTTCGAATCCTAGACTGCCCTAATTATGATTTAAGAGAGTGAGCACCATACCAGAGTTTGCATTGGGTGTTTCAACAAAGTGGTAAATGTTTTAGACCTGCGCCACTTCAGGCTTTGCTCCCACATCAAGTTGTGATATAACTGAAATACTATTCAGAGCGGCGCGAAACCCAGTGTCACCTATCCCACTATAGCAATGATGTAGAAGTTCTAAATCAATCAAATGATTCAGTTTGTTATGAACGAAATGTAGCTTACATACCGATGGGAATCAACCAAAATAAAACTACTAGAATCTGTACTTTACTAAGAAAGTGTTATCCCAAATATAACATGTGTTACATTTGACCACTTTCTAAATGATATTATGTGTTCGTAGCTTTCGGCCATGGGATCCGTGCCAATTTACACTTGTCAGAGAGTTACACAAATACTTGATCTAGACTACCAGGTGTCGGACTTGCCTCACTCTTGCTGTGTGGCTTCGAATCCCGGATGGGACTCAACAACAACAAAAGTACTAGAATTTGTACTTTACAAAGAAAGTGTTTTCTCAAATATAACATTTGTTACATTTGACCACTTTCTACTGGCTTGAAACAAAATGGCGGCGTCCTGTCAATACGATCTGATCGATAATCAAGATCTATATTGTAATAAAACGGGTCTTACCTCGCGAAGTGCATCAAATCACGTGAGCACCTTGATTAAAAACTTGAAAATGTGTGCAAAATATCTGTCCACCCCCAGTTGACGGTACACATGCTTTGCAAATCCTACGTCCGACAGACATCTGCACATTGAAATCCATGTTGTTTACAAACCGGATGTCTGGTTCGTCACGCGATTTTTATTGGACTACGCATAGACTAGTTAGTCCAGCCAACATGTGGCTCCGGAATTTCAGCCTGGTTAGGCAAGGGAAGCAACCCATGCTTGCCGTAAAAGGCGACTATGCTTGTCGTAATAGGCGACGGATCGTGGGGTCAGGCTCGCTGACGTGCCTGATGCATGTCATCGTATCCCAATTGCATGGATCGATGCTCATGATGTCAATCACTGGATTGTCGGGTCCAGACTCGATTATTTACAGACCGACGGCTCATAGCTGGAATATTGCTGAGTGCGGCGTTAAACAACAAACAAACATAAAGAGGAAACTAATAATGATTTTGCCACTAAGAGAATACCTCTCACCTGGAGTCGCGGTAGTGTTGGATGTCGTTTCGTCGAATTGATCTGAAACAATTGACAGCATTATGAAAGAGTAAGTCAAGGATTGTTATTGATGTGCAATAAATGTTTTTCATGCTCATTGGTTTACTCGACATCCATGAAGATTGTAGTTTATGATCAATCATAGACTGTGTTACCAGAGCTTATATCAAACGTGAAGAAAGTGTGGAGATTTGTGTGGAAAAAGTGTTCTGGAAAATACTTGAAAAACTAATTGTGACGCAGTTTTTGACAACCAATGTTTTTTCACTGAATATCCATGTGTTTCGGTCTAAAAGAATCCTTTGGATCATCCTTATAGCGACAAAAGTACTAGTATATGCCTTGGTACAAAGACTGGACAATATTCTATATCTCTTTCCATCTTTCCATCTCTTTTAGCCCCTTAACGCCCAGCGCCAGACAGGGTAACAACAAGTACCTTATTTTAACGTCTTTTGGTCTCCCCCCCCCCCCCCCCCCCCCCAGCCACCCCCCCTAAAAGTACTAAAATCTGTACTTTACTATGAAAGTGTTATCCCAAATATAACATTTGTTACATTTGACCACTTTCTAAACAATCTCATTAAAATCAGATCTAAGTTCGCTGCCGCTAAACAAAGATCTGAGGACATCCAGTTACGGGTCACGTCAGAACGACCTTTCGTGAACTTTGACCGACCACTGAACTAACTAACAAGATGTCAACATCAGCCAATTAGAAAGCAGCTTTCTCGAGCTTAACGGCACTCGTTTCAACCTGGCGACTTCCATTTCAGACTACGCTTGAAAAATATGTTGACACAATTCTCGATTTATAATTTTTTTAAACTGAAAAAACGAACATTCCGGAATGTCTAATATATGGTTGAGATTGTATGGCAGTGCTTCCCACGTACTGTGCAACGCCTTTTCCGTTCAAATGTTTCTCTAATGGAAGCGAGAGATCATCCCTCACCACTCGCCCCTTTTCGTAACCCGCTATTCGGCTTGTTCCGGAATAACACGAGTTGGTCACGATTGGCGAGAGATAGACAATGATTTTGACGGAATCAGTCGCACGGGCCGTAACAGTCGTTCTGAATACCCCGTATTAACATTTTCGAGGATGAGTGATTAGAAAACACATTCCGACTGTCACTTTCATGATCTGGTAAGTGGTCGGATAAAAGGTCGGTCTGACGTGACCCGTAATGGGATGTCCTCAGATCTTTGATTAGCGACAGCGGGAACTAAAATCTGATTTTATTGAGATTGGCCGTCATATAGCTGGAATATTGCTGAGTGCGGCGTTAAACAACAAACAAACATGAAGGAGAAACTAATAATGATATTGCCACTAAGAGAATACCTCTCACCTGGAGTCGCGGTAGTGTTGGATGTCGTTTCGTCGAATTGATCTGAAACAATTGACAGCATTATGAAAGAGTAAGTCAAGGATTGTTATTGATGTGCAATAAATGTTTTTCATGCTCATTGGTTTACTCGACATCCATGAAGATTGTAGTTTATGATCAATCATAGACTGTGTTACCAGAGCTTATATCAAACGTGAAGAAAGTGTGGAGATTTGTGTGGAAAAAGTGTTCTGGGAAATACTTGAAAAACTAATTGTGACGCAGTTTTTGACAACCAATGTTTTTCACTGAATATCCATGTGTTTTCGGTCTAAAAGAATCCTTTGGATCATCCTTATAGCGACAAAAGAACTAGTATATGCCTTGGTACAAAGACTGGTAATATTCTATATCTCTTTCCATCTTTCCATCTCTTTTAGCCCCTTAACGCCGAGCGCCAGACAGGGTAACAACAAGTACCTTATTTTAACGTCTTTTGGTCTATGATTATGGCTTTGAATCCTTGACTGCCCTAATTATGTTTTAGGAGTGTGAGCACCATACCAGAGTTTGCATTGTGTGTTTCAACAAAGTGGTAAATGTTTTAGACCTGCGCCACTTCAGGCTTTGCTCCCACATCAAGCTGTGATATAACTGAAATACTATTCAGAGCGGCGCGAAACCCAGTGTCACCTATCCCACTATAGCAATGATGTAGAAGTTCTAAATCAATCAAATGATTCAGTTTGTTATGAACGAAATGTAGCTTACATACTGATGGGAATCAACCAAAATAAAACTACTAGAATCTGTACTTTACTAAGAAGTGTTATCCCAAATATAACATGTGTTACATTTGACCACTTTCTAAATGATATTATGTGTTCGTAGCTTTCGGCCAACGGATCCGTGCCAATTTACACTTGTCAGAGGGGTACACAAATACTTGATCTAGACTACCAGGTGTCGGACTTGCCTCACTCTTGCTGTGTGGCTTCGAATCCCGGATGGGACTCAACAACAACAAAAGTACTAGAATTTGTACTTTACAAAGAAAGTGTTTTCTCAAATATAACATTTGTTACATTTGACCACTTTCTACTGGCTTGAAACAAAATGGCGGCGTCCTGTCAATACGATCTGATCGATAATCAAGATCTATATTGTAATAAAACGGGTCTTACCTCGCGAAGTGCATCAAATCACGTGAGCACCTTGATTAAAAACTTGAAAATGTGTGCAAAATATCTGTCCACCCCCAGTTGACGGTACACATGCTTTGCAAATCCTACGTCCGACAGACATCTGCACATTGAAATCCATGTTGTTTACAAACCGGATGTCTGGTTCGTCACGCGATTTTTATTGGACTACGCATAGACTAGTTAGTCCAGCCAACATGTGGCTCCGGAATTTCAGCCTGGTTAGGCAAGGGAAGCAACCCATGCTTGCCGTAAAAGGCGACTATGCTTGTCGTAATAGGCGACGGATCGTGGGGTCAGGCTCGCTGACGTGCCTGATGCATGTCATCGTATCCCAATTGCATGGATCGATGCTCATGATGTCAATCACTGGATTGTCGGGTCCAGACTCGATTATTTACAGACCGCCGGCTCATAGCTGGAATATTGCTGAGTGCGGCGTTAAACAACAAACAAACATAAAGAGGAAACTAATAATGATTTTGCCACTAAGAGAATACCTCTCACCTGGAGTCGCGGTAGTGATGGATGTCGTTTCGTCGAATTGATCTGAAACAATTGACAGCATTATGAAAGAGTAAGTCAAGGATTGTTATTGATGTGGAATAAATGTTTTTCATGCTCATTGGTTTACTCGACATCCAGGAAGATTGTAGTTTATGATCAATCATAGACTGTGTTACCAGAGCTTATATCAAACGTGAAGAAAGTGTGGAGATTTGTGTGGAAAAAGTGTTCTGGAAAATACTTGAAAAACTAATTGTGACGCAGTTTTTGACAACCAATGTTTTTCACTGAATATCCATGTGTTTCGGTCTAAAAGAATCCTTTGGATCATCCTTATAGCGACAAAAGTACTAGTATATGCCTTGGTACAAAGACTGGTAATATTCTATATCTCTTTCCATGATCGTTCCATCTCTTTTAGCCCCTTAACGCCGAGCGCCAGACAGGGTAACAACAAGTACCTTTTTTTAACGTCTTTTGGTCTATGATTATGGCTTTCGAATCCTGGATTGCCCTAATTTTGTTTAAGGAGTGTGAGCACCATACCCCCCCCCCCCCCCCCCCCCCCCAAAAAAAAAAAAAAACAAAACAAAAAAAAACTACTAGAATCAGTACTTTACTATGAAAGTGTTATCCCAAATATAACATTTGTTACATTTGACCACTTTCTAAACAATCTCATTAAAATCAGATCTAAGTTCGCTGCTGCTAAACAAAGATCTGAGGACATCCCATTACGGGTCACGTCAGAACGACCTTTCGTGAACTTTGACCAACCACTGAAATAACTAACAAGATGTCGACATCAGCCAATTAGAAAGCAGTTTCTTGAGCTTTACGGCACTCGTTTCAACCTGGCGACTTCCATTTCAGACTACGCTTGAAAAATATGCTGACACAGTTCTCGTTGAACAAACGAACATTCCGGAATGTCTAATATATGGTGGAGATTGTATGGCAGTGCTTCCCACGTACTGTGCAACGCCTTTTCCGTTCAAATGTTTCTCCCATGGAAGCGAGAGATCATTCCTCACCACTCGCCCCTTTCCGTAACCCGCTATTCGGCTTGTCCCGGAATAACACGAGTTGGTCACGATTGGCGAGACATAGACAATGATTTTGACGGAATCAGTCGTACTGTCGTTCTGAATACCCCGTATTAACATTTTCGAGGATGAATGATTAGAAAACACATTCCGAGTACTTGATCTAGACTACCAGGTGTCGGACTTGCCTCACTCTTGCTATGTGGCTTCGAAACCAGGGTTAGAAATTGGCACACGTCCTATAGTCCTTGCCAAACTGCCAAATAGCTAAGGTATCATGACTAGTAGAAAATTGCCATTTTTAAGGGTTTTGCTATATATTATCATCATAAGGACTAGTGGACCAAAAATGTTAGTTTCTACCGCTGGAAACCGCTATACAGGTCTTTCCCACATTTAGACCCTAAACGTGTTTAGCTGTTAAACACAATCATAAACATGTGAAGATCCGGGATAGAATAGGTCTTCGGCAACCCATGCTTGCCGTTAAAGGCGACTATGCTTGTCGTAAGAGGCGACTAATGAGATCAGGTGGTCAGGCTCGCTGACGTGCCTGATGCATGTCATCGTATACCAATTGCATGGATCGATGCTCATGATGTCAGTCACTGGATTGTCTGGTCCAGACTCGATTATTTACAGACCGCCGTCATATAGCTGGAATATTGTTGAGTGAGGCGTAAAACAACAAACACACAAACCTAAACATGTTTAGTAATGTGGCCGAGAGGGGACATTGCTTTCTCGCGGTTAAGCAATATCCCCTCTTGACCACTATAGGGGTCGCATGTGTTATCTGTTTCAATTGGGAGGTAATATTGAACTTTTCTCACAATTTACTTTAAACATAATTTAACTGTACAGACGTAGGTGATTTTAAAACAATCCACAGATTTCTGCGTAAAATGTAATTGATTGATTTATGGCCCTATTTAAGCGCGTGGCGGATAATGACAATAAGCTCTAAATAAATCAGGTTAAAATCTAAATATATACTTTTCAAAAGAGGTTAAGAAGACTATAATTAAAAGTCATGTCTAATTGTATTTCAAAAGACAATCTTATAATTGTGGGTGTCCTATAACTTGTTTGGAGTAGTATATGATGTTACAGTGTGTCATGCTGTTATCCGTAAATATTCCTTCTGACATTTGATTTATGATCAACTTGTATTGTGTCTCTTGTCTTGGGCAAATCTACAAGTATATGTACTTGTATATAGTGATTTGATAAACACCGCTGTGAGTGAGTATGGTTGTACGTCGCTTTGAACAGTAATCCAGCGATATCACGCGGGGAACACCAGAAATGGGCTTCACACATTGTACCCATCTTCGGCGTGACGAGCGAACGCCTGAACCACTAGGTGTAACAATATGAAGTGCATTACTATGATTATCTATAACATGTTAAATCAGCTATTCTAATATTTTATGTATATCTTAAGTATAGTTTTGTCAATATTATGTACGACTCGCAGTCGAACAACGTGAACGAGCCTTGGGTATGGTACAGATGGGAGCCACCCACGCCCATATTGCACGAACCTTCGGTTGCTCCTGTGTTGCCGTTACCAATTTGATGCAACGTTACAGACAGACAGGGCGGACCGCTGACAGGCCTAGAACAGGCAGACCCAGGGTGACCACGCCCCATGATGACCGGTACTTGCGTACCTTGCACCTCCGAAATCGCTTCCTGACAGTGACGTCATCGGCGACAAATGCCTTCGGTCACAGGGTTAGTCGACAGACAGTGGCCAGGAGACTCAGGGCTCATGGAATCAGGGCTTTAGACCATACAGAGGACAGATATTGACAGCGCAACATCGTCGTCTGCGATTGAGATGGGCCCGGACTGTACGACGTTGGCAACGACGTGACTGACAGAGGGTTGTCTTCACTGACGAAAGTCGATTCTGTATGTTTAGGGCTGATGGAGGACAACGTGTTTACCGCCGAAGGGGTGAACGAACGGCGGCGTGTTGCGTGCAGGAGGTCGTACCATATGGTGGAGGGAGTGTCATGGTGTGGGGAGGGATCTGTGGGCAGGAGAGTACACCGCTGGTCATCGTTGACGGAAACTTGACAGCTCAGCGTTACATGCATAACATTCTTCGTCCAGTTGTCCTACCATTTCTCTAACAGCAGGCACGTGGTGTCATTTATCAGCATGACAACGCTAGAGCCCATACAGCCAGAATTGGCTTCCTCGCAGGCAACAACGTCAACGCCCTGCCGTGGCCTGCACGCTCACCCGACATGTCCCCCATAGAACACCTCTGGGACTTGATGGATCGTCGTGTTCGACAACGACCACACTCTCCAGCCAACCGGCAAGAACTGATCTTGGCCCTCCAAGAAGAATGGCCTCAAATCCCACGTGACCTCATCAGACGACTGACTTTTTCAGTGCGTCGAAGAGTTTTTGCGTGTATTGAGGCATTTGGTGGTCACACACGCTACTAATGACTTGTTATTGAACGTGAGCGATTGTTTATGTACTCTGCCTATTGTCCATGTTTCTGAAAGCTCGAGTTTTGTACCACACCCAACTTTGGGAGGCTCTGACGTCATTCTCTGTCGCGGTATGATTGTCATTTTCAGTGTTTTTTATGTTGATACATTGATCTTCTCAATACACTTTACTTCATGCATGTATTGTTTGTTGATTTTGAGCAAGAGTGATATCAAACTCTGGTAAAGTTTCTTTTGGACGTCAGTTTATTTACAACGCATTTCATTTCTATTGTGCAATAACAGGTCTACATTACGGGACAAGGCACATGTTTAGGCTTGTGTTATGAATATAGACACATTTATTTACATTAGGATTATTTTTTTAAATGCTTCCCACGTACGAAGTTCGTTTGAGCGGAGTTGCTTCCCTTGGTGAAATCTCGAGCAGCTGGTCATGCGTTCGCGTCCCAGATTCGAACTGGTAATGACAACTGACCAGTCTGCACCGTATCGTCTTCGTCTGTTTCACCAAAGTAGTTAATACATAAACGGACATCCACGCCAAACAACTACTCGTACACAATTTTCTGCTTTTGTTTGTATGCCCTCTCTTTGCCTTCGCTCAAAGCGGTATTAACCCCATCCATTCATTATGTTCAACGAGTGATACCGCTGGTATCTACACACGTACATTTGTAGCCTATCTTGTAGATGCCTATCTTGCAGATGCCTATCTAGTAGATGCCTATCATCAGACCGACACTGTGACTGGTAGATATCTATCAGCTGATGGACAGGTAACGAGGAAGTCGCTGTAGTACAGGTTAATATTGAATATACATACACCCACGAAAGGGCCACACACATACAAGATGCATACTAGCCCTTTGTCGAGTATATATATTGACAATGAATATGAAATCCTAACGAACTGATAGCAAGCCAGATTGAATTTCATCAACAAAGTACCTTTTGCTGTCGGTAGGAGAATGATTTCAGATATATATACTACTCAAAAGAAGTTAAGGATCACCTGATTCTTTCATATTACAATAGTTAATCTCTCATGCCATGACAGATTAACATTACCACTATGAAAGAATCGGGTGATCCTTAACTTTGAGTAGTATATATATACCTCGAAAAAAGTTAAGCATCAGTTACAATATACTTCCACAGGCATTTTTGGAAATTGTATTCTCTGTCAATTCTCTGACGAAACTCAAATTGATATACAGAAACCAGGACCAGTTATCGAATGAAAGGTCTTGTAGCTGTGCATCTTCACAACATCAGTTATCTGACAACCCTTACACTTGCTGTTTCTGCTTCTCTACATCATCCGACATGACCCAGTACTATCAGAGACTATCAACCCACCCACCCTCATTAAGAAATAAACGACGAGTAGGATTTTTTTATCGTACAATTAAACACTGCAGGGACAATAAACCATGAGGAGCGGTGTTTTATTAAGAGATAAACCTACTCCGTTTTAAAATTTGATGTAGTCCCACTGCAACCGATGCCCTCATAG